GCAATGAACTGATTTCATGTCCAGTTTCAGAATGTGGAAATTATCATCAGGATCTGCTTCTTCCCCCTCCCCCGTCCCCCTTGGTCCAATCTGTCTGAGCTTAGCTCAAATAAGAGAAATTCCAGGGAGAATGAACCTATCTCCCCTCCCGTCTCGAACTGTGCTCTTGAATAGGGTAGCCACTAGCCACATATGGCTATGCAAATATAAGTTAACTAAAATTAAATGCAACTAAGAATTTAGTCCCTCAGTTGCGGTAGCTACAGTTTAGTTCTTAATGGCCATGTGTGGTTTGTGGCTACCATATTGGACAGCCCAGATGTAGGACAGGGCCATCCCCGCAGAAAGTTCTGCGGGACTGTGTGGCTTTGTAGCATTGCAGAGACCCTAGGATTAAATCCTCTCTTGTCCTTCAGTGTCCTGTTCCCTTACCATGTCGTCTTGCTTGTGTGTCTGCCCTAGAGTGCAAGTCATTGAGGGCAGGACTATGTTGGTTTTGGTCTGCTTCCCATGCCTTCTGCAGTGCTGGGTTCTTCACAGTATTCTCTTGTTGAGTACAAAAGTAGATGAATGGGTGGCTAAATAAGTAATGTTTGTGGACCCACAGTAATCCCCCTGGGGCCCTGGAGGTTTTATAGGATAACTATGAGGGCATAGTCATCCTACCCAAACTCCATTTTATAGAACTCATTGCTTTTTTTTTTTTTAAACACAAACACACACAGTTCCTAAAACAGATGAAAACAAGACACCACAGTTGATTGAAGATGGTCTTTAGCAAGGGCCCTATGCTGTCTCGGAACTTTTTTACTTGGTCTCAGGGATCAGTAATTTCTAGCTGGGACCTTTTGGGAACTCTTCTGACGCCGGAAGGATGTCCATGTGTGAGGCAGGTGGGGCTTCTTCTGAAGCTCTTTAACCTGTCTGCTGTAGAAAGAGTGTTCCCCTAGTTATTAAGCTGGTTTCTGGCGTCTATGTGGCGCCTATGTTGGTCCAGAGAAGGCCGTTTCCAAACCAAATTTATGGCCTGTAGTTCAATGCCACGGTGACGCCTGCAGCTGTCATCCCCTGTGAGCTGAGGAGGAGACAACAGGGTAACCTCCTGGAGTATGAAAAGAAACTGTCTTTTTTGATTCCTGTTTGCTTGTTTTTAAGGTGAACAAGACCCCTATGAGGAGCTCCTGATCGTAGGCTTAAAGTGGGCAGGGCTGTCCTATCTAGATCTTCAGGTTAGTGTCTGGCACACAGTAGGTTCTTGACGAACAGTTTCTGATTTTGTGACTCAGTTTTGCAATTGGGCCAGCGCTGTTTTTAGCAGTGTTTCTCTGGCATAATGAACGGCAGTGTGGGTTAGTGGTTAGAAGCATGGTCTGGAGCCAGGCCTTGGGTATCAATCCCAGCATGGATACGTACACACTGTGTAATCTTGGAGAAGTTGCCTAACTCCTCTGGGCTTTAGTTTTTTATCTGTAAAATGAAGATCGTAACATACCCTGCCTCAGAGGGTGATTATGAAGATTACATTGTTGGCATATTATAAGTAATATATAATTATCAGCTTTTATTATTATTACTCTTCAGACTTCGGGTCTGGCTACCAGATCCCTGTGACCAAGGATGGGTCCCTTGGTTTTCCCAGGCGTTGGAAGGTACATATGTTTCCATCCTCGTGTGATCATGAAAACAGAGGGCATGTTGTTCCTCGGCTCCTGCTGATTCACATGGCAAAATAACCTAACAAATAGGTCTTAAGAATCAGTGCGTTATTTCACGTAAGTAGCCCTGACTTCCACGGACAAGGAGCGAGTGGTGTGACGACAACAGTGCCCTAACCTGCTCTTGGCCAGCCTTGCACGTGAGGACATGGATCCTGCCGTCTGGCCTGGCGTCTGCTGCTCACCAGGGAGAATGGCGGAGCCAGGTCTGGCTGCATTCTAGGTGGCAGACAGATTAGGAATGGGACTTAGGAAGCCATACTGAGGGAGGATGGGGGGCCAGCTTTGCTGTTTTCAGCCTCCTGTGTCCTGTGCCGCGTTCAGCTGGGCCTTTGGGTCCCACGCTTTCTCTGGTGCACAGTCGGTTGGAGGCTGGGGGCTCTAGTGGCAGAGGAGCCGGGGTCGGGGTGGGAGGGACACCCCTCTCAGCCTCAAGATAACTTAAGTTCTGGGGTGGAGCTAAGGCAGGAATCTGTGCCCACTGCTGCCCATCGTGTAACTCGGGAGGGAGGGGGAAAGCTCAGAGCATGAGCGTGGAGAAGAGGCCCAGGGATCCCCGGGTGGCAGGAGCCTGGGAGGCCAGGCCTGTCACCTGCAGTGGCCTGTCACCTGGTTCTGAGCTAATGCCGCGTGGGAAATGCCATGGCAGGGATGCCTCATTGCACAAGAATGGAGCGCCCAGTGTTGCTCCTATGCTGGGGATGCGTTCACAGGCAGAATAGACAGTATCCTTGTCATGTGGGGCTCCGAGTTGGTGCTTCCATTGTTCCTCAAAGCACACAATCAATGCATCACACAAACTGTGTTAAAAGCCGTGAAGGAAAAGTGGGGTGTGAGAGGTTATTACAGGGGGACCATCCTCACCTGTGAGAGTTAGGGAAGGCCTCCCAGAGGAGGTGACGTGAGCTGAGGTCTGTAGCAGGGATGGGAGAGCGGGGAACAGGAGCAGTGTGTCCAAAGGCCTGGAGGTGGAACCAGTGTGGCTCTGGGGAAAACGCAGGCCGGTGCCTGACCAGCACAAGCAAGGAGGGGACAGAGCAGGAAGTGCTGAGGCCAGAGAGGGGCCCTGGGGTCAGATTTCTACAGGACAGAAAACCACGTGAAGGTCCCCAAGGGCAGTGGGACACCTTAGGTTCTAAGCAGGGGCAACCTGAGGGGAATTGAGGCTGGGGGTTGTGTGCCCCCTCCTGCTGTCCTATCAGCTCATCCCTCCTCTGTGTGCCTGCCTGGGAGGCGGCAGGCTTCCTCTGGACGTGATTCGATATATTATTGATCTTTATCCGGGAACACTAGGCTCTATCATGAAACACTCCCAGGACATTTCCTTTTGGGCTCTGGGCAAGACTTAGGTTGAACCTGTGAGTGTGGAGCTCAGGGTCTCTGAAGGGAGAGCCACGGTGCACTGTCCACCTGACGAAGCCTGTGCGGTGCTGTCAGCCCTCAGCTCTTCCTCCCTGTGCTGAGCAGCCAGCACCAGGCAGGAGTTGGGGGGGGTGGGAGTGGGGGGTGGGTTGGGGTGGGAGGGACTGGTTTTGCAGCTGGGAGGCAGTCTGTGCATTAATGGACAGGCTTGGGCTCTCTTGGAATCTTACCAGTAGGGGGCGTTTGTTTCCAGTGCTCCCTTGAAGAAATGGCACTGCCTCTGGACCTCCCGCTGCTGTCCTGGAAAAGGGTCAGCAAGTTCTCATCTTTCTGCTTCACACAAAGAGCCTGCAGATATACCTGAAACAGGGGTTGTGGTCACACCTTCCCGTACCCTGTGATCTTGGTGTGATCACTCAGTCAACTCTAGCACCACTGCAGCCAGATGTGTGCTCATGACATTGCCGTGCATTGTGGGATACCCATCCCCTCGCTCCGCACTGATGAAGAGCCTTCAGCGTGCCCAGATTCTGCTGTATGAGGGTGGATGAGAGGAGACCCAGCTCTCAAGGCCCATGCTGTGGAATTATGGGCTGTTCAAAAGAAGCTCATGGATTGTATGGCCTCCTGTTAACAGGGGTTCACTGATAAAGGGGTTCACGGTTATATAAGTTTGGGAGATGCATCATCATAAATGCCCCTTCCTGGTTATCTATTTCTATGTAACAAACTACCATTAAACTTAATGGCTAAAATAACAATTTATTATTATCTCTCACAGTACTGCGGGTTTGATGGGGATCAGCTGAGCGGTTCTCACTTGGGGTCTCTCACGCAGTTACTTCCTTTCATCTCTGTTAGCTGCAATCAGACAACAACTGGGGGTAGACTCATCAGAAGTTGCTTCACTCACATGTCTCCCGGCCTGGGTTGTCTGGGGATTTCTCCCTGCACATGGTTTCACCACATGGTAGCTTGGGCTTCCTCATAGCATGGCCGTCTGAGGGTTGTTAGGCTCCTTACATGGCAGCTGGTTTCCTCCAGAGTGAGTGTTGCAAGAGGCCTGGGAGGAAGCTGTAAGACTTTGTATGAACCTGCTTGGAAATCCCCAAACATCACTGCCACAGCCTTTTATTGGGTAGGTAAGTTAGTGAGGCCAGTCCAGATTCACGGGGAGGGGCTTAGACTCCACAGCTCAGTGGGAAGAGCAGCAAACAATTTGCAGCAATCTTTAATTTACTGTATCTCTTGGAGATTCACAATGCATGAGAACGTATCCAAGGTGTCTGAGAAGTCCTAAAGAAACCTGTCTAACTCAGCATTTTCCAAGCTGGTTATTATTGTTGTTTAAAATCAGGAACTCCTTTACTCACAGAAAATCATTTAGCTTGAATTCTGCCAGAGAGCAGTGGGCCGAAATGAAAAAGTAATTGATTTGTGGATCAATATTACTTTCTAATAAATAAAACTATCCAAAGATGGAATCTAGAGATGGCTAGGGAGTTCCTAATTTGGGGAAGTACCAAAAGAGAGGACTCGTGACCTGCATGGATGGGAAGGCTGAATGTCTCAGCGGGAAAAGCTTTGATTTGACTTCTGGCCAATCAAATGCACCACTTACAGCTTTGTAACACCGGGCAAGTTACCTCTCTCTAAGTTTCCGTTTCCTTATCTACAAAATAGATGGTTTCTATTTCATAGGGTGGTTGTGAGGATTGATGAGATAGATCCTGCGGGGGAATTACCCAGCACAGGTGCCTTCCTTGGTGAGACTTTGTGGCTGCTCAGTTCCCTTCCACATCCAGGGTTTAATAACTTTGGGTTTCTGGACTTGCTGAGTAAGTCAGTATTCTAAGTCATGGGCTCGCCCCTAATTTTCTTGCAAGAGTAACCTCTACACCCTTTCACTTTTTTCCAATCTAGTTTCTCATAAGTGACCGCGACCCTCAGTGCAACCTCCACTGCTCCAGGACTCAACCCAAACCCATCTGTGCCTCCGATGGCCGGTCCTATGAGTCCATGTGTGAGTACCAGCGAGCCAAGTGCAGAGACCCCGCCCTGGGTGTGGTACATCGAGGCAGATGCAAAGGTGAGTTGTGCACATCTCTGCCCAGTTGAGGAGAGATGCGTGGGCACCACAGCTTCCTGCATGGGACACTCCTTAGCAGGGATCGGGGAGCGGGGGGAGTTGGGGATCTCAGAAAGAGTCTATTTATTTGGTTTGCTATCCTACCCCCCAACCCTTTCTACCAGGGAATATGAAGTGAACTGGTCTACCTGAAGAAATGAGCACTTTTCTGTCTTTGAAACCCTGTCGCCAGGCTCGGGCTTAGAGGGATGTGATGCTGTGTGGCTAGGGCTATTTATTTTTATTTTAAAAATGGAGATGCTTAAAATAGCAAGACATTATTGCTGGCTTCTGAACAGGGGTTCCAAATGGTTGGTCAAGAGATGTGGTGTTTTTTTTGGTCCGCTCACCTGTTTAAAAATATTAAAAACATTTGAGACAACATTTAAAAATTAGGAGCTTCAACATCAAAATCCGGATTTTGGTACTTCTCATAAAAAACTGGGAGCTCTGGGAATATCATGTTTGTGTTCCCTCCCACAAGGCAACACGCGGCTAGAGCTGAGTAGCAGCCACCTCCTGTAAAGGGAACCCGCTCTCCGATTTGTCACAGGCCTCAGCACCCCCTATGGTGTCTCCAAGCTGAATGCTCCTCTAATTCATGTCACTCTCCTACCCCCTGCGGATATTTGGATTTGTGATTCTGGGCTGCTTGGAGCCATTATAGGAACCGTGGGAGGCTAAGCAGGCCTCTCTCGAGCCTCTGATTTCCTGAAGAAAGTGCTTGCCATTCTTGAACTAGAAAACATCTTGGAGGCCCCGTGGGCTTGCATGTTTTTAATAAACCCAGTGAAAAATAAGAGAAGTGGGACAAGCTTTTGGGGATACTTGGGAGAAAAAATAAGTAGAAGGTGGTATAAATACAACCCCCACTTTTCTAAGAAGAACACCGACGAGGAGGATGAGCCCGGGCACTCACTGGCCCTGCCTGTCGTTAGAGGAGCCGGTGCTGTAGGGGCTCTCGCTGGATTGTGGTGAGATCCTGCAGGGGCCTCAGGCTCCCAGGCCGGGCAGCCGTCCTGCGCGGAATCCAAGGGAAGTGTGACATCTGCTCGCTCCTCTCCTCTTCTAGACGCTGGCCAGAGCAAGTGTCGCCTGGAGCGGGCTCAGGCCCTGGAGCAAGCCAAGAAGCCCCAGGAGGCGGTGTTTGTCCCGGAATGCAGCGAGGATGGCTCCTTCACCCAGGTGAGGCCTTGGCCCAGTCTCTCTGGACTCTGGAACGGGGCCAAAAGGAGGTGCCAGGCGAGGGAGGGCCGCCCCGAGCCTTGGCTCTCTGGGAATCAGCTGAGGGCTCTTTGACACCCTCTGTGCTACCTTCTGGTGCCTATGTTCCCCCCTCCTGGACCCTCCACGCTGCCCCTTGCCAGCTGGCAGTGGGCACCGAGAAGGCGTGTGCAAGTTTGAGCCAGGAAACTGGCATTGCTTGGTCCCCGTCTTCCCTGCTGGCCCTCTCCATTTTTCTCTTCTGTCAAATGGAGGCTGATTATTTTTTCTTATCCTTGCCAGTTTCCATGGGCAACCCTGGTATTCCCTTCACTATTTATTGCTACTGCTCTCTGCTCCCCCCACCCCTTTTTGCCCCCAAGTCCTCCAATGAGGCAGGGATCCCTTGGGGTACAAAGTGTACTGTGGTGCTTGGAGTACATGGTGTGAGTGTGTGTGAGTGTGTGTGAGTGTGTGTGAGTGTGTGTGTGAGTGAGTGTGTGAGTGAGTGTGTGTGTGTGAGTGTGTGTGTGTGTGTGTGAGTGTGTGTGTGTGTGTGTGTGTGTGAGAGTATGTGAGTGTGTGTATGAGCGTGTGAGTGTGTGTGTGTGTGTGTGGTGTCTGCGTTCATCCGCGCGTGTGCATACACTCGTGTGTCTGCGTGCACACAGATTTTAAAGTTTCTTTTCAGGCAGTCCCGCCTCTCATCCTGCTCTGGCCAGAGCTTTGTGTAAAAGTAACGCTGGCCTTGTTGATGTTGGCTCAGACTATTTCTAAAACAGGCAGCAGGGGACAATAGGACAGCAAGTTACTCCTTCAGAAGCGTTTAGGCTGGAGGTGGGGCGGGAGGCAGCTGGATGAAGGCACTGTCCATGAACGTGGGGAAGGTCCTGGTGCCTCCACTTTCTCTGTGGAAGAGAGCGGAGTTGGGTGGAAGCAAAACCTTCAGAGGTTTCACCTTCCCTGCAATTCTGAATCGGTGGGGCAAAGGGTGTGGGCTGGCCTTCGGGCCCATGGCTTTCAGGTCGGCTGGTTTCAGACTGACCACCTGCTTAGGGGGAACTGTGGCGGGTGGTGGGGAAGCGGTTGGGCCTCATATTTTTAGAAATTCCCAGCGGATTCAAATGTTTGTCCAGGACCGACGGCCACTGCATTAAAACGGGCCTTGGCTCATTTGCTCACTGAAGCCTGTGAGGTAGGTGCGATGATCCCCATTCACAGAAGATGCAACCACAGCCGGGCGCAGAGTGGCCGACCTGGGATGCAAACTCAGCTCTCTCTAGCTCCAGAGGCCTCCACACTCTGCTGTTCTCTGAACAGGCAGCTTTAAAGGGGACTCTGAGGTGTGGACTGGCAGAAGGCAGTGTAGTGCTGTGGTTAGCGCACCGATCCTGGTGCTGTGGTTAGGGTACCGATCCTAGTGCTGTGGTTAGGGTAGCAGACTGCCTGAGCATGACTCCCGGCCCCCACCCCTCAGGCAAGCCAATGAACTTCTCTGGATCATCCTATCCTTATGAGGAAAATGGAGATTACCTCCATTATTATACATAGTGATAATTATTATATCTATTATTATGCTACTATTATTACTATCAATAAATATTACTATAGCTTACCTCATGAGGTTGGTTGAAGATTACATGAGTGAATGCGTGTAAAGCACTTGAAGCACATAAACTGTGTATAGATATCTGTCATTGTTATCATCATCATCCCCATCTCCACTCTGGCTCTGCTACTCACGTCTCCCCCAGATTTTATGAATGATGTCACTTAAGGAAAATAAAACCTTGTGTCGAACCTCCCCAAGTTTGAAAATTGATTAGCCCTCTCCTCAATTTTTTATTACAGTATTTATTCTAGTGGGAAGATTGCAGGCGATCTTTGTATATGGATTTGAGAATTCACATACCGGGGAGAAAAACAGACCTCTCTGTGCTGAGTTTGGGGCCGAGATGGGGTAAAGGTCGTAGGAAGGAGGCACAATCTCGTTCCCCCCTCCCCCCTTTCTCCAGGCTTGTGTAATTCTGAGTGTGTTGCTTATGAGAGCGGTTGACCCCTGCCCTCCTGGTTCTGAAGTGTTTGCCGCCGCATGACAGACAGCTGCTGGCCAGCTTTTGTTTGGGCGAGGCCCGGCCGGACCAGGTGGAGGAACTTCCCGATTAGTCAGGGCGGAATTGCTAAGTGAGAGGCCCCTGAAGTTCAGCAAAGGTTGGGGAGGCAGTCAGGAACTCCTCATTTGTTTGACACGGTAAGCGCTGCCATGTGTCCGCAGGCTCAAGGCTGGTCACCCCGGTGGGCAGTCAGGCAGCCAGACAGCCGGCCCGGCCCGTTACAGTGATTGAATTGGATGTGCTTTTCCCCTTGATCAAAGACACTGCAATAACTTCACAGAACGAGGCTGCCTCTTTGAGTGAGCTTCAGTCGCACTGACGGGCTGCCAAAAGGCGAGGGACAAATTGCTTTCTCCCTCCCCCAACCTCCACCAGCACCGAGCTGGACTTGTTTTGTTTTTTAAGACTGAAACAGAGATCAGCTATGGCTGTGCTGCTTAACTATTCTTTATAATATTGATACGCATGTATCTTGGTGTCAATAAAACATGTTAGCCCTATGAATTATGAAGTTTAGAGCGGGAGGGAAGGGGCTTGAAAGGGACTCGGTTTGTCTGGCATGGGACACAGCTTGGGACCACATGACTGGTTTGGCTTTCACGGGGTTCATGTGGGATGTAATGATCTCTGTTCTCTTCTTTGTTTTCCCTTGTCCTCTTCCCTCCACCCCAGCTCACACAGCAGAGTGGTTGGTGCACATTAGATTTTTTTAAAACCTTGATACCTACCCAGTCCACATCACGGACCATGAAATCAAATCCTGGGAGGGGGACCCCAGGTGATGCCAGTGTTGGGTCAAAGGGCTTCATCACCCTTGTTTTGTTTTTTTTAAGTTTTATTGTTGAAAAGTTTTAAAAAATATATGTTTTTATTGATCTTAGAGAGAGAGGAAAGGAGAGTGAGAGAGAGAGAGAAACATTGATGAGAGAGAAACATCAGTCAGCTGCCTCCTGTTGAAGCTGGGTGATGGGGATGGAGTCTGCAACCAGGGTATGTGCCCTGACCAGGAATCGAACTGGTGACCTCTTGGTGCATGGGTCAAGATCAACCACTGAACTACACTGGCCAGGCAACATCACCCTTGTTCTTTTTTTAAAATATATTTTATTGATTTTTTTACAGAGAGGAAGGGAGAGAAATAGTTAGAAACATCGCTGAGAAACATTGATCAGCTGCCTCCTGCACACCCCCTACTGGGGATCGAGCCCGCAACCAAGGTACATGCCCTTGACCAGAATCAAACCTAGGACCTTTCAGTCCACAGGCCGATGCTCTATCCATTGAGCCAAACCGGTTAGGGCATCATCACCCTTGTTCTTGATTGCATCATTGGAACATGGAGTTAATGCTCTTTGGTGACCTGCTGAGTAAGGTCGGGGGTCTGTGGTCTTTGTCCTCTGCTGTGGCCTTATCTATTTTCTCTTCTGGGCATCAGGAACGTGGCTCCTGACATCTGTTCTACCAAGTTCTCTGCCAAGCAGTTGCCCAATGCCCGAGCTGATTCACAGAAACCAGAGCTGTAGTAGAAAGGTATCGGATCACCACCACCAGGAAGTGTGGCTGGAGAGTGTCAAGCTTGTGCATCCCTGCATAATAACGATGACGACTCTTTATCGAGTGCTACTTGGTGCTAGGCACTGAGTTTTACACCCATAAATCTTTATTAGGACCTTTTGAGGCAGTTCTTAATACCCTTATTTATAATGGAAACACGAGCATCAGAGGGGTTGAATAACTGGTTCAAAGTCACTAAGCTAGAAAGGACTGGCACCCAGCCTGCCTAGTTTCAAGGCCTGTGATCTTAACTTTTTTTGTGCTACAGAAGGGTCCTTGATATAAATGTAATTTATTTCCCATTGTTGTTCTAGAAGTCCCCTCTCTGATGCTGTTGACTGACTGGTCAAGCAAACCTTTAAAAAAAATCCCTTTGATTATGGAAATTTTCAAATATATAAAAAAGTAGAAATAATAGTATAATGAATTCCATGTATCCATCACCCAGCTTCAACAATGACTGACATGTGGCTGGTTCTGTTTCATCTTATCCCATTTTTGTCTTCCACCCCAAATTAGATTGCTTCAAAGCAAATCCCAGACAATATTTTTTCATTTAAGACAATTTGGAGCTTTGCTATGTTCTGAGCTATGTGCTGGTTATTATGGGGGATTCGAGAAATGTCATGACCTGTGCCTTCACAGATGTCACATGCAGAAAAGAGATGAAAACATATGATAAAGTAGCCAGTGTATGAGGTCATACATGTACAACTGGTTATATTTCAAATGCTCAATAATTTACAAGTCAGTAGTTTAGAATCCTGAATGTACATACTTTATTGTTGAGAAAACATATACAAATTAAAATTTTTTGAACATAAAGATCACACCTGAAGCAAAACTAAAAGGCAAATGATATATATTATTAGCCTTAATGACAAAGGACTAATATTATATAAAGAACTCTCACAAACCAGAAAGAAAAAGATCCTAGTAGAAAAGTGGGCAAGAGATATTAACAAACAGGTTACACAATAACAGATTGCCAATAAGGGAAAGTGAATGATGTCATTTTCCTTAGTAATGAAAGAAATACAAATAAAAATAATGATGTGTCACTTTGCTTTCCAGATTGGTAAAAATTGGAATAGGCTTGAATGAAGGGAGAAGGTGACCCCCACATTGTAGTTGGGGGAGTAAGTTGGCACTGACTTTTGTGGCATAACTTTGCAGTATGGGTCAGAAGTCTTTAATTGTGCCCACATCTTAAACCTGAAATTCTACTTCTAGGAATTTATTCGAAGAAAATAATTAAAAATAAGTGCAAATATTTAGCCACAAGGATTTCCATCTAAGTTTTGCTTATAGTAG